GTTTGACCATTTTTAGTGTATATTTATAATAATGCAGCAAATCTACAGTGTTTTATTAACCAAAACTGTTTTTCGCGTTTTTCTCGAGTTGAAGTTTTGATCGAGAACGACTCATTGGGACCGCCGCCAAATCAAGTGCGTTCGGACTAGGACATTCAAACTCGCAGTTATCGTTCAAAAGATAATGATGGTGCGAAATATGTCTGGGTTTTTAAAGAAAATGCTTTGTCACAGAATAATAGTCTGTTAAAGGTGCCAAGTATTAAATAATTTAGGGACAAAAAAACAAACCTGCATATAAATCGGAATAATAGGTCTTTTGATTATCGGAGACGCATTTCAATGGACTTGATTACGGACAATGCATGACGTAAATTTCACCAGGAAATTCCGCAGTGTGCTCTCGCAATCGCGGACTTAGTCATTTTTACAAGGTTCGCCATTTTTGATGTCACGTGATAATTATGTAAACAATGTCTGTCCAGTTTATGCGAACTTGCACCTCTATTCTTAGTCTTTTGATATATATAACCTAAATTACTGTTCTGAACGAGACAACAGACAGAGAATGTTTTATTTAAAAACGTCACAAAACCTTCTCGCTACCTTAATTTTGAAACATGCCTTCAGTGCCCTATTTTTCAGATCCTGTTGTGCTACATCAAATTTCCCTGTTAAATTTAGTTTCATTCCTAGATATTTATATGCTGAAACTCTTTCTAATTCAGAGCCATTGATTTGGAATTTGAAATTATTTAGAAGCTTGCCTGATTTATTGAAGATCATTGATTTAGATTTAGAAATGTTTATATGTAGCTTCCATTGTTTGCAGTAATCCTGTATATTGTTAATAGCGTTTTGTAAACCACTACTTGTTTCTGACAAAAAAACCAAGTCATCAGCATAAAGTAAGCAAGAGAGCCTATTGTTTAGTAGCATTGGTGGGTCATTTTTGCCAGATTCAATGTGTGATTTAATATCGTTCATGAATATATTAAAAAGGAGAGGGCTAAGGCCATCCCCTTGTCTGATGCCTCTTTGAACAGGTAAGCGTTGGTGGGATCCCTGTTTGCTCACTCAGACAAGACTTTTCATCTGTGCGAGTCTACTGAGAGCCTCTATGCGTGTAAGAAATACCCCGCTGGGCTCGTTGGTAGTGCGCCGTCCGGTTGGGACAGCAAGTCCAGTAAGTCCGGAAGCACTACTAGTGTTTAGTCTAGCATTTCCAACAGAAGTGGAAACTAGGCCTTGGTTGGCTAATTGGGTGCGACCAGTGTCAATATGCCGGTGTGCACCTGTCAAAGTTTTCTCTGGTACCTGGCAAACTTGCGAGAAGTGAGGAAAGGCGTACACATCTATGTGGGCCAACGGGATCGATAAGGCGTCCCTGGCCCAGGCTCCTGGAGTTGGCAGGAGTGTATGTTGGGAGCTTGGCATTTCGGGGTGCGGCAAACAGGTCTATCTTTGGACTGTCCCACTGCCGAAACAGCCTGGAGGCTACCCACTGGGGTATCTGCCACTCAGTGTTCTGGAGACTGAGTCGCCTCGAAAGGGCATCTGCCAGACTGTTCCTCACCCTTGGAAGGTGGTGTGCGGTTAGCTCCACATTGTATTCCAGGCACCAAAGGAGAATTTGCTCTGCTAGGATTGAAAACGATGGGCAACACGTCTCCCCCCCCTCCTTGTAGAAGGAGACCACCGCTGTGTTGTCTGTGCGGAGCAGGACTCTGTGGTCATGAACTACGGGTAAAAAGTGTGGTAGTGCTAAGTGCACTGCTTTCAGTTCGAGCCGGTTGATATAGTAGTCCCAAAACTAATGCAGAGCCATATACCTTGGGCTTGTTCGTCCAATAGATGTGCTCCCCAACCTTGGAGAGAGGCATCTATTACCAGAGTCATTGCTGTGGCGAGTAGGTCCAAAGAAACCCCTGTCCGAGGT